TGTCTCTGAAAGACAAAATAGATTCGAAGAGACCAAGAATTGACTCTCCTTAGAGAACTTCTCATAGACAAGAACAGAGGAGCTGGCCCTGATCCTGTCCTGCATCTGCCAGCCAGGGATCCTGGACAAGTCACACAGGCCAGGGATTCTGGACAAGTCGTACAGGCCAGAGATCCCCGGGCAGGTTGCACAGGCCAGGGATCCCTAGACAAGTCACACAGGTTCAGGAATCCTGGACAAGTCACACAGGCCAGGGATCCTGGACAAGTCACCTGACCTCAGGTGCCAGTGTCTCCAGGAATGGCATGGCAGCAGGCATGTGTTGGCTCGCAGGATGCCTCTTCACTGGCCTGGGCATGCAGGCCATCTAGAATGTTCACCAAAGGTCTGGAATGGTGTTGTCAGCAAGTGTCGAGAGGAATCAGGGCTGTATCCCGAGACAGCTTGTAACTGCAGCGTGCCCATGCCGAGGAGGGGCCAGGAGAGGAGGCGGCTCTGGGGTGGTGCCCTGCCATCCCAGGTTTATAGACGACCCCTCGTGGGGCAAGGCTCACAGACGGACCCCCGGACACGTTACAGGAAGGTCCCAGCGCCCACGTGGTGCCTCCACCGTCGTGCTGCCTGGCACTTGAGGCTCAACGCAGCTGGTCTTCCTCACTCTGGTGCACGGTGACCTCATTCACTCTGGTCCTACAGGACCCTGACCCAGATCTCCACCCAGGCCAGGGCGAGCACTCCGGCGGCCCAGCCAGCCCTGCGGTCACCCTGCACCCTCCAGGAGCGGGAAATAAAATCCTGTTGCTGAGGGGAATGGGACCGCCCTGTTGTCTTCATCCCAGGGGTCCAGGGACGGCGCTGCCGTGGGGTGTGTAGTCCAAGCAGGCACTTCGTGTCACACCCGCACGGGAGACGGACGGCCCTCTCCCAGCAAGGCTGCCCCAACCCCACGTGTTTTCAGGATCACATGATAGTTTGGGGATTGGAGAACAAAATATGGGTGGTTTTGTTGTTTTTTGGTTTTTGTTTTTTACAAAGAAGCTGCACGCAGGGTTTCCCGGGTGCCTCCTCCAGCTGAACATGTCAGGCTGTGCACCTGACCTCCTGGCCACAGCGACATGGCACCACCTTGGGCAGCACTCCCAGTGCAGCCAGCTTCCTACCGATCCCGCTGCAGGCGGCGCTCCCAGAGAAACCCCATCGAGAGCCCGCCCCACTTGAGGTCCTTGAACACGAGAGACAAGCGATGGGCATTGCAAGGCACGGGGACCAGGGCCACAGTGAGGGGAAGGAGCACCCGAAAGAGAGGGGCATTGGACTCCGGTCTCAAGGAGTGGGGGCAGGGCAGGCCAGGCAGACCGCATGCAGGTGTGACAGGTCAGGCTGAGGTCGGTCCGGTGCCTCCGCAGGGCCTGGGGAGGCCAGAGGCCTGACACTCAGCAAGGTCAGGAGGCGGGACACCTGCCCTGACGGCCTGTGAGAGGCAGACATCACCCCAGGGTCTCTCAGGGCTACTGGGGAAGGTCTATGGGCATCCATGGGGGCAGCGGGCAGGAGGAGGATGGAGGAGGGATGAGGCTTCCGGGGAAGGGTCTGAGCGCCAGGGAGGGAGGGCGCCGTGGGCCAGGCCAAGACCCAGGGCCTGCACGGGATAGTCAGAGGAGCCAGGTGAGATGCTGACACCCTCAGTGGAGCAGGAGTGGGGAGCCCCACCGGCCTCCATGGGGGGTCCCTCCTTGGCCGATGGACAGCGAACCGGGTGCCCTCACCCCTCCACCTGGAGTGCAGAACAGAGACAACCTCAGCAGAGTCCTCACAGCACACGAGAGGATAAATGCCAGTTGGATTAAATACACAAACACGCTGCAAGCAGTATGATTTAATAGGAAATGTGGGAGGAGGAGGCCTCCATAAGGTCGACTCAGGGAGGAAGTGCCCCAAAGCCCTGGGGGGAGACACCCCATGAGCACAGGAATGGAAATGCATTCGCAGGGGGCTGCTCACAGTCCCCGCAGCCCGGCATCCTGACACCTGCAGCCCAAGCAGAGGGGTGGGCAGGAAACCCGAGGCTAACGGATCTACGGCCCGTGACCACCCCCCCTGGACACACTGTGGCTCTCAGATCCCACCGCAGGCGCTGCTTCTGGGCAGCCCCAGCCGATGTAGGGGCACACTGAGCTGCCACGGGAGAATCGTCCCATCTTCCCTGGCTCCCTGGCGAGGCCTGGCCTCCCCACCTCCACACCCTACCCGGAACCTCCTCCCATCTCAGAGCTGCAGGCCTGGCCTTGAGAAGCCGTGTAGGGTGATGGGCAGTGTGCACAGGTGTACAATGATGGGTATCCGTCACGACAGAGTAGACCCACTGCCCTAAAAATCTCCTGTTCACCCCCCTGCTCATCCCTCCTCCCCACCAGCCCTGGCAACCGTGCACAACACCCAGAGTAAATCCCAGGGGAAGCCACGGCCTTTGGGCGATGACCATGTGTCCACACAGGCTTGCGGGTTATTGGAAATGCCGCAGTCTGGTGGGGGTGCTGATGGTGGAGGAGGCTCTGCGTGGGGCGGGGAAGGGGGCATGTGGGAAATCCCTGTTCCTTTTGCTCGATTTTGCTGCAAACCTAAAACCACTCTAAAAATAAATAAATAATGGGATGTCTAAGTGACTCAGTGGTTGAGCATCTGCCTCTGGCTCAGGTCGTGATCCCAGGGTCCTGGGATCGAGTCCCACATTGGTTCCTCACAGGGAGCCTGCTTCTCCCTCTGCCTATGTCTCTGCCTCTCTCTGTGTCTCTCATGAATAAATAAATAAAATCTTTAAAATAAATAAGTATAAATAAATAAATAAGTAGAGTTTTAATTTTTTAAAGAGGAGTAGAGACAGAGCTGGGAGCTCCCATGGGCTGCTGACCTGGGTGCCCTCCTTTTCCCTGGAAGGCAGTCCGGGGCCCTGGCCCCACCACGTCTCCCGGCCACCACATGTGCTCACATCATGAGCAAGGAGTCACAGTGAGTCCTGAGCAATGGGCACATGTGGGGCCACCTCCCCACACAGTGGGGTTGAGCAAGGAGCGGCTGTGGATGTGCAGGTGACAGGCTGGCATGGCAGTGTCTGGCGGTTCCCGGGATAAGGACACCCTGTCCACTGGGTCTGGGGGCCGCCACGTTGCTCCTGGCTCCCATCCCTCTCGGGTGGACTCTGGCTTCCCTCATCCAAGAGCCGCCCTGAGCCTCCTGCCCCTGACGACAGAACCCAGCCTCCCAGTGGGACGGGGTTTCACCCAGGACACTGTGGCCAATGAGTGCCATCGAGAGTGAGAGCTGCTCACCGCGGCAGCCGGGCTCCCCTCTCTGGTCCCGCTGCTGCGAGGGACAGCAGCTGATGGCTGGGCTAAGGCGACACATCTGGAAGGGCCCACGCCTGCCGGCAGCGTGTCTGCAACCTCAGCCCCGGACCCCACATCCATCAGGACCCCTGGGCCTCTGCCTGGGTCCTGGACATCCTTACTGTGGGAGAGACCCCTGGCTGTGCTCCCAGTGCCATGGGTCAGGATTCAGGCTCCCTTTGTCTGCATCCTAGCCGGGGCCCCAGGATGGTGGGGGCCCCGAGCCCTCTCGGGCCGGGGGTCATGGACTGGTGACCCTGGGAATGCTCACATGTGCCGTGTCCATGGCGCTTGGGCTGCACAGTGTGTCACCAGGCTGGGAGGGGACAACCTGAGAGCAGGTGTCCCCAAAAGACGGGGCAAAGCTGCCAGGACTCAGAAGCCAGCTACTCCCAGGACACGAGGCATAGGCGTGGGGTGGCCCAGTCCCACCGGAATCGAGGGAGAGGGACAGAAGCCCCACCCCCACTCGGAAGAGGCACTGAGAAACCTTCCCACAGGTTGGAGGCTCCGAAGGGAACCGTAACTCTGGGCCACATGAAAGCCCAACCTCCCGAGTGCTCAGCTGCACAAAGTAATGTGCTGTGGCCTGATCCTTGTAGACCCAGGCATTTGGGCTGTGATGTTTGTGCAATAAAAATTCTAAATCAACCCCCCTGTGCACACACCAGCCGACTGCGCATCTGTCCCCGCCTGCCGACGGCAAGTCTGACACTCCTGCACAAGCCCGTTTGGACCCCTGTCCTCTCCTGGGTGCCTTGGCTTCTGTCCACCACCGCAGGCAGCCAGACTTCCCAGAGCACGGTCACCTACGGGCTCGGATCACACGGCACTTCCTCACACCACCCGCCAGGCCATTGCGTGGAGCAGGCCTGGGGAAACGCAAGCCCGCAGGACCCGCAGACGGCCGGGCCTGATCACGGTCCCACCGCGAGGGCCTCCCAAGAGAGCCTTTCCTCCCGGGGCGACGCCGAGAGCCTGGCGCTGCCCACGCGCCCTCCCAGGCCCTGTGCCCAGCCTGTTCCCACTCCTGCATCTTGTGGAAACAGAGCCACTCGCTGCCCCGAGAAAGGCGGGCCTGTGTCTTCTCACTGGTTCGGCCAACACCACCCGCCACACCCTGCAAAGGAGGGAAAACCTAGGCATGCACCTGTCCCCCAGATGTCCCCAGGTGTACACGCCCAGCAAGAGGCCTTAGCGGCTTCCCGGAAGGACTGTGCTTCCGCACCCCAGGCCAGTGCAGGCGGAGGGGGGTGCGCCCCGCAGGCACCATCCGGGCCCTCCCATCCGCTGGCAGAGGGTGCACCAAGACGCAGACGGAGGTCCCGCCTACTTGCAGCGGACCCGTCAGTCCCCGGAGTGAGGGGGAAGGGTGAGCACACACGTCCCCGTCGCCGTAGCCTGCCCGGCCCCCACCAGCCAACGGTGGTCACTCCCCCCTGACAGTTGCTCGCAGCGGGACCTGAGGCGACGGCGTCCACAGCAGGTGATCCTGACCCTCTCCCATTAGAGGCCAAGCCCGCAGGCGTCCTTCCCTGTCAACGACTTGCTTTTCCCGGACAACTTCCTTTTGCGAGTCCAATTTATTTTTTTCAGATACATTTAAGAACAGGGCAACCTACATTTCAAGCAGGAATACAAAATGCTTGCTTTCTCTACAGAGAATGTCTTTTTTTTTTTCCTCCTCTACTGCACCACGCAGCCACGGAAGCTCCCCACAGCAAACATGTAATGCCTGCAGATCACACATAAATATTTAAAATTGTTTTCCAGATGTCTGGGCAAATGAGCAGATCCCCAGCCCTTTTCTTGATATTTCCAGCGCTTTCTATTTGGATAAAGGCACCAACGAGAGCCCAGGTGCCTGTAAATACGGAGCACCAGTGAGGCTGCCCAGGAAGGATGTGCCGTGGGACCTGCTTTCGGGTTTATGGGAGGCCAAAGAGCCGATTCCCCAACCCGTGGAAATCGATACCCAAACAGTGAGTGGAAGCAGCAGATATTTTATTTATAACACGAGGCCTACGGCCCACATTTCTGGAAGATGCTTCTCGCAGCTTGGAAGGCCCGTCCGCTGGCTCTCTGAGGTCTGGGGACGCGCTCCTGCCCTCCCGAGTGCCGCGCACCTGTTCCCGTGCGACGACTAAGCAACAGACCTCAGAGCACACGGGCTGCAAACAACAGCCGTCGCTGAGGTCTGTCCTGGTTTCTGGGGGACAGGAGCTGCAGGAGAGGGTCTCTGGCTCGGGGTCCCGTGACAGGCAGCTAGGGGCGGCAAGGGGGTGGCAAGCAGGGACCCCTGCCTCTCGGGGAAGGAACACCAGTCACACTGCAAGACAAGAGTGTGGAGTGCAGATGGATGCTGGTGTGATTTCTTTGGAAAATGCAATCTGCCCTGGCCTCATGTGCAAATCCTGCTCCCAGAGCTTCACTGGGGACGGTGACATCACCCAGCTGGGCTCCCACAGCCAGGACAGGGAGGGATGGGGACAGGGCATCCTGCTACTAAGCTCTCCGCCCGAGGGAGGGACTGCTCCCGACCCCTCCTCTTCCAGGACCCAGCCCACACCCTCCCTCCCTGGGCCTGCAGCAGAATGCTGGTTGTCTTGAAAGGGATGCAGATGCTTGGCTTTGGAGGCTGCAAGACAGTGGCAGGTTGAAGGGAAGTCTGTTTTCAATGTCTGAGCAACCGGCACTGGGGCCCCAGGCCTTCCTGCCTTGGGACATGGGCTCCTGACCTCTGCGCTCTCGCACCTCGGGCCCTGCCCTTGCTGGACCCACCTGGAGTCAAGAGGGAGAAATCTTGCTGCAGGTAGGTCTCTGACCACAGGCCTCCAGGGGTGGTGAACAGTGGACTCAGGACTCAGGGAACGCGGTGGACAGAGACCCCTGGCCCTGCCCCGGTGGGGACGTGCTCCAGGCCACAGGGATTCCGTGCAGCCTCTCTGAGGTCTGCAAAGACCGCGGGGTGACCACTCTCAGCCCGAGCTCTCTCTCTCCAGCTCCCACTCCACTGGGCTAGGATGCTAGGAAATGCTAGGATGGGGCTGCCGGGTGTAGGGCCAGGGAAGGCACCGGGCAGCGGCCGTGCAGCGGGGTGCGTGCCATGAGTGGGAAGGTGGGCAGACACCTCTCTGCTTCCTCACTCCCCCCGGGGTGGGGAGAGCCAGGCAGGAGGGGACGGGGATGGGGGGAAGGGGGATCTCAGAGGGCAGGAGGAGACTGGGGGAGCAGGAGGGGCCTCAGGGGGCAGGGGGGCCTCAGGGAGCAGGGGTCCCTGGGGGCAGGAGCCAGGATGGGTCAGGAAGGAGGACCACAGGTCAGTCTCGGAGGAGGAAGAACAGGTGGACCCCAGCCCGCAGCTGCTCCTGGAATGGAGCTTGAGGGAGGCCCAGGCAGCCGGAGGGAATGTCAGGAGCTCAGGGCTGAGGAGCAGCTCTGTTTTCCGTTTCCCATCACGTGGCTTCCTCCAGGTGACCTGCAGTGGGGGGGCCAGGCCAACTGAGAACACTCGGTAAGATGTCAGCTCATCCCTAAAGAAAAGCCTGCAGCTGCTGGCACCAGGGCTGCTTGGAAAGCAGGCTCCCTGGGAAGGAGAGTCCTACATCGAGAGAACAAAGCTGGAGAGCATGACTTCCAAGGGTGGCGTGCGGGGAGGCAATGGCCGGCGTGATGGCAGCCCGTAAGCCCCTGGAGTCAGCGCGGAAGCGTGCTGGGGGCAGAAGGCTGCAGGAAGGCGTTCCCAGTGGAGCCGTGCTTCTCCACGCATGGCTGACCTGACAGGGCCCCACTCAGGGTTTCCTGATGATGGTTCACTTTGTGTCAAAAACTGAAATAATTCAGAAACTGAATGAAAAGCCCCGCCCTCACCAATGGGGATGGGCAGCCCCCAGTCAGCTGCAAGAAAAGGGCAAATTTGCACTCTCGTTGAGAGCTGGGACTCCAGCCTCTCCAGCCCCCAGACGGAGCAGCTGCCGGTTCTCAGTCCTTCGGCCTCACACTGGACGACAGCACTGGCTGTTGCTCACGTCTCCTGCTCACGTCTCCTGCTCACAGCTGGCCGCCGGGGCCTTCTCGGCCTCCACAGCACGTGAGCCCATCACCGCCTTCCCCCATAGCCAGTAACAAAGGAAGCTGTCCCCTCTGGGCAGGGGACGGACCAGGGACCTGGTGCAAACCGACGCCTCCCCTCAGGACAGACCAGGGGACAGACAGGACGGCAGAGGGCCTGGCCCCGGGGCAGATGGAGGCAGGATCTGGCTCCTTTACCGCTTCCAGAGTAAACACGGTGCTGGAACGCTTGCTGCTCCCTGGGGAAGTGGCTGACAAGCCAGTGGCCTGGCTTCCTCCGTGGGGCCTGCCGGGCAGCAGCGGTGACAATGATTCCCGAAACGTGCCCAAGAACACTCCACCACGCGTAAGCCTGTGTTCCAAGGACACTTTGCTCCTGAGTTTGAAGCCCATCAACGTTCTGCTCAGCTTTAGGCTCTGTCTTTGCTCCACGTGGGCTGGCCAAACAGTTGCACATTTTTTTCCGTAGATATAGAGACAAGCAACGGATAAATGAGAGAGAGAGAGAGAGGTGATAGATGACTGATAGAGATATAGATGATAGATAGATGATAGATAATAGACATAGATACATGATAATTGATAGAGATGATAGCTGATTGATAGATGATAGATAGATAATTGATAGAGATAGGTGATTGATACATAGATGATAGATTAGATAGATGAAAATAGTCATCATTTTGCTGCTGGTACATTTTACCTCATGATTTGACCCACTTTTTCTTCCTGGAAATGCGGAATACCATCGCCATGCGCCCTGACCTTGATGAGCAGAGAGCAGGATCCCAAAACCTGGACATGATAGCATTTAGCTGTCACCACATCCACAGCACAAATGAGGAGGGCAGAAAAGCAGGAGGAGTCAGCAGGTCTCTCTGCCCAGGGGGACTTGGCCGTGAGGACGGGAGGCAGGAGGGTCGTTGGCACCTCCACATCCACCGTGCTCACCCCTGCCTTCACGAAACAGCATTTACTAGAGTCCCCAGGCGATCAGGGTCCCACGGGCACCTCCTCCTCCCGGCACACCTGTCACCAAGTGTGAGCTCAGCACAGGAACAGGAGGTAGGGGGTGCCACCCCCACCCCCGCAGGCTGGGTGGGCAGGAGGGGCTGACACTTGAGGTCCTGTGGGCCCCAGCTACCCTGAAGCCTCGAGGTCCCGACCACCACCGGCTGTCACCTCGGGGGGCTCGATGTGTAGAGGGGCCACAAAACACAGCTGGCAGCACTCACAGTCGCCCTGCCCATGAGTGTGGCAAACAGAAAGCACAGGTGCGGATGCTGGGCCTTCCGGGAAAACCAGGCTCACGAGGCCACCCCAGTCCTTCATCAGTTACTTGCTGGGGCTGCTCCTCATCATACCCATTTTACAGGCAAGCCGATGGAATCCCAGGGCACAGGCCACCCGGTCAGGGTGAGCCAGCTGACTCCAGACACGAAGCCAAACAGACAGCCATTACTCTGGATGTGGTCACTCCTCCACCGTGAGACGCTCCCTCGTTAGCCCAACACCTTGTGCTCCTCTGGGTTTCCAGTTTGGAAGCTTGTCCAGTGGCCATGAAATGCCAGCAAAAAACCTGGAGTCTCGTGGCTACTTGCCCACCTCCCACCAGGGCGGTCGGGCAGTGCTCTGAACCCAGGACTGAGTCCTCCCTGGGCCTCAGTTTGCCCCTCTGCAAGATGGGTATGATGACGCCCCACGGGCTGGGTGGTGAGGGATGCACATGGCCACGCTGGGTTCACTGAAGCCCAGCAGGTGTGTCGACCTATATCCGGGACCTCTGAGGTCGGAAGAGAGTCACTGACAGCCTGTCCGTGACACCCGTGGACCCCCAGCCCCGGCATGAAGGCACAGCCTAGCACCGCGTCTCAGCTCAGGGACAGCCATAACAAAGCACCACAAAACAGGACTGAACAACAGACGTTTGCTGTCTCCTGGTCCTGGAGGCCACACGCCAGGGATCGAGGCATCGGCAGCACCTCACTCCCTGCAGGATTCGGGGTGGGATCTCTCCTTGTGTCTCTGGCTTCTCCCTGGCCCTCCCTGGCTTCTGGATGCATGGCCCTCGCCTCCGCCTCTCTCCCCAGAAGCTCTTGGGGAGAGCTTGGCATCTTTTCTGACAAGGACTCAGGTCATATTGGACACGGCCCCCCTGATGCCCTCGCCTTATCCTGATCACCTCTGCTAAGACTCTATTTCCAAGGTTACAGCCACGAGCATCGGAAGCTTTGGCCTCAATGTCCTTATCTTTCTGTGGGCAAGGGGACACAGTTCAACCCAAACAACCCTGGAGCTGATTGTCCAAAGAGCCCCCTGGCCTCCCACACCCTCCAGCTGGCAGGGACTCCACCCCGGCCCGAGGACAAAGACTCCCACAGATGAGACAGGGGTGGCCGTGTGTCACCCCAAAGGGTCCCTCCTCCAGCCATGCCCGTGAGGTGGCTGCTGCAGAGAAGGAGACCCTCCAAGACCCCCTCACCTGGTCGGGCGGGGGCTCCCATGAGATCTGCCTGGAGATGCTCAGGCTATCTGAGGGGCCTCCACACCGATGGGTGAGGTCTGCAGGGGCCACACTCTGCTGGGCTGGACTGGGCGTCTGGACAGAAGGCCGGCTCAGAGGTCTAGGAGGCCCTCCTCACCGGGTGGGCTTTGCTCAGGCCTGGAAGCACCGGTCGTGGTCCTCAGGGTCCCAGCCAAGAGGGCACCTCTCTGCAGGTCCTCTAGAAGTGCCCTGGAGAGGGCACCCAATGCAGGTCACCTGCGGGCAGGGGACAGGGTGGCAGGGAGGGACGGGGTGGCAGGGAGGATTAGAGCCAGTGAGGAGCATGTTGCCCAGCAAACCACACACAGCAGTGGAGCTCGTCCCACTGGGAGATCTGGGGGCGCAGAGACACCACAGCGCAGGGTGCCAGGAAGGGGCTGGGACACCCTCCAGCACCCAGCTGCCGTGGAGTGCAGGCTTCTGTCACCAGGCCTAGACACTGTCACGGGCCCCAGGGGGCCAGGAGACCCTCCAGCACCCAGCTGCCGTGGAATGCAATCTGCTGTCACCAGGCCTAAACACTGTCACGGGCCCCAGGGGGTCAACAGGGCTGCAGGTGGGTGCCCGGGAGGTGCAGGCCAGGGATCCCACCTCGTGGTGGGCTTTGCTGTGCTCCGTACCCGGCCCTGAAGCGAGCCACCCTGTCCCCTCAGCCGGCCTGCCTCTTGTGCCCGCCATGGTCAGCCCAAGTGGGCCTGGGTCATCTCCACCCCACCTTGGGCCAGCCCTGCAGCCGCCAACGCCCTCCTACAGGTGGGTGTTGCTCCCTCAAGCACTCCAGAAACCCCTCCCCAGAGCAGGGCATCCCTAGGATGAGACCTAGGGGTACAGCTGTGTGCTGCCTTCCAAGCCAGGTGTCCCTAGGCATTCCCCCTAGTGATCTCTGATAAGAGCCAGAGCCCCCGCCAGCCAGGCCCCGGCCCCTCTGGAGACAGAAGTTTACACAAGCCGCCTTTAATCAAACACCGCGTGGAATCCACATGGACTAAACTCTCTCAACATTCACCAGCATTCTGCTTGCCAGTCCCGAAAGGCTCTATCCCATTTTCTTGTAAAACAGAAAGATTTCTCTTTCTACGAGCTACTAATAAGTACATGCAGCCGTGGATGTCAGCAAACCAGAGCAGCCTTGCTCTGCAACCCCGGCCCCAGCAAGCGGGAGCCTTTGAAACTCTGCGCCCCTTCCCAAGTTTGGGCTTGTCCCGCCGCTGCTATCATGCTGTCCCGTTACAAGCCAGGGCTCACACCCCCGAGGACCGAGACTGGGGTGTCTGAGGCCTCAAGTCGGAGAACCAGCCAGATGCATTCCCAGACACTTTGGTGCCTTCGGAGGGCAGGAGGAAGGCGTGCCGGGGACACATCCAGGGGGGTCAGGCTGCCCCAGGACATCTGCTGCCCTCACCCCAGCTGCCCCTCTCCTGCACTGCAAGATTCTAGCGCATGGACTGTGCCCCCCTGACTCTGGGGGGGCCGTGGACCAGGGGGCTGGCCAGGGCAAGACCCGGGGCTGCTGGCTGTGCCTGCTGGGTATGTGCTCACAGATGAAGGGTGGCTCATGGCAGCTCAGAGGAAGCGACTCTCATTCCCCTAGCTCAGTCACACCTACAGGGTGGTAGCAGAACCTCCCTGAAAAGGTCAGGAGCACATAGAGGGGGTCCAGCCCTGCCAGGGAGACCCTCCCCCAGGGCTGTGATTTTTGCAATTCTTTCTCATCCAATTGGGGTGAACGTTCCCCACGCCTACAAAGCTGTTAACATCTATAGATATGCAGGGGGGAAGGGGGCTCCAAGGGACCCTGCCCGTGGCCCATCACGTCTGTGGCCCATCACACCCGTGGCAAGGGTGCTGACACTGCCCACACCTGACCTGGGATCACCTGGTGACCCAGCAGCACCATCAGTATCCAGAAGGAGCCACTCACTCCTCTTCCCCACGACCCGGCGCCCGTGGCTCATTCCCCAGATCCCGGAGACGTGCCCAGGAGACACTCGGAGCCGGCGAACAGGACGCTCACTGGGAGGCCTGAGAACACGGTGGGGGGGCGGGGGGGAGGCACACGCTCCTTCTTCCTGCCAATGCAGGGCCTGGGCGGTTGGTCCTCTCAGGCTAAGTCAGGAGAGCAGCCGGGTCCTAGTGGACCACAGCAGCACTGTCCCAGGGATCCCGTGCGCTAGGCGAGGCTCCCCGTCCGCCAGACTCACCCAGAGCAGCATCTTCAGAACAGCCGGCATTTGCCAGGACCTCAGAGACCTTTTCCTGATGGTGCCAGGATGCTGCCACCAAGCAGCCACCTCTGAAGACTGGAGTCAGGAACCAGCGAGTTAGAGCTTCTCCTGGGCGCCCCAGGAGGCCCGGTGCACACGCTGAATACACAGATCAGCGATACAAGCATCCACGGCCTCGAAACTGCCCCACGCTAGAAAGGGAGTCACCAAGACACCACTTCACGCCATCCTCACGCCAGTGATTCCAGCCGCTGCCCAGCCCGACCGTGGAGTCTGTCTGTCCAGCCCGACCGTGGAGTCTGTCCGTCCACCTGGAACCCTCTCCGTGGCTTGTTATGACGTGTTCGTCCTACACCAAGTGCTTCTCCGATTCCCAGCAGATGCTGACCAGCGTCCTACACTTGAGCTCAGTTCTGACACCGTCCACTGGAAGACAGAGACAGTCCCCAGAGAGTAGAGGCTGCGCCCCACAGGCTGCGCCCACCCCCCTCCCTTCACCCTCCAGCTGCAGGTGCAGGGACTCACCCCTGCTCGTGGCCCACAGGCTACAAATCAGAGCTCCCCCATCCGCTCCGGGGGTTCCATTCACTCACTCGCTAGGCTCACAGAGCTCAGTGTCTACCTGCTGGATTACCGGTGTATTATAGAGGACGTTAAAGAATACGAATCAACAGCCAGATGAAGAGATACACAGGGCAAGGTCCCCTTGGCATGGTGGCATGTGGACACATTGTGGTTCACCAACCCAGAGCTCTCTGAACCCCGTCCTTTGGGGGTTTTATGGAGGCTTCATTCCCTGGGCACGTTGATAAATCACGGGCCATTGGCGAATGATCCAATGCCAGCCCCTCGTTCCTCCCCGAGGCTGTGGGTGGGACCGGAAGCTCTTCTTGATGTCACACGCTTGTCCTGGCAGCCCCAGTGTGGATGCCACCAACAGAGGAGAGCACACGTGCGGGAGGGCGTGTTCTCCTTCGCCAACGTGGAAAGAATTCCTGTCGTCTCCGTGCTGGCTTTGAAGAGTTGTGCTCCTAAAACAAAGAAAGGAGGGGTTCAACGATGAGATTCAGTACTAGCCGCCCCTGATGGGCACTGGGCTCCTGCCAGATGGGGGGCGATCGTCTTTAGAATTCAGACTGTAAAGGATGTCCTTCTGGAAGGAGACGTCTATATTTCCTAGACGGTTGGTCGGTGGTTTCTGCAGAATCAGGAGCCAGAGGGAGGAAGACAGAGGTGGAGCTACAGCCTCAGAAGCGCAGCAGAGGCTGTGGAGGGGGTGTGGGGGGGTGTTGCTTGGGAATGGAGAAACAGTCAACAGTGGGGAAGCCAGCTGGCCCCGCACCCGGCCTGCACCGCCCTGATTCTGGAAGCAGACTGATGGGGCGCCCACAGTGGGTGTTGGGTTCTCCTCGTCCCTAGTCCTAATTATCAGCAGTGGGAATCGTGCTCTGGGAATGCGTCCATCTGGGTCTAAAGATTCTCAGGGATGCCTCTCTTATTTCTGGCACATTTCCGTGTTTTCCAGAAAGAAATGGCCTGAAAGGGACAAGCTATGCCTGGGAACATTCTGCTCCGAGGGATGGTCTTGGAGATCTTTCTGGGCATCTGTGGGAGTCCATGCACTGGCCCAAGTAGCTTGACACATGGGCATCGGGGTCCCGTGCCTGGCCCCGGGGACCCCAGGACAGCCAAATGGGGAGGAAGGGGGCAGGAGAAGAGGAGCAGAACAGACGTCCATATGGACACAGCTCACTCCAGCCAGATCTGTGTGAGAGACACCACAGGCTCGGCTATGCCGATCCTAGAACAACCTGACACATCTCGATCACAGACATGAGACAGCAAGGTTAGTGAATTCACCTGCTGGTGAGCAGGGTGACTGAGAGAACTCGAGTTTTCCCTAATATCAGAGTCCTGGTGGCCTGGATCACAGCCCCCCAAACTCATATTCTGGACCCACACCCCCAGGACCCCACACCCCCTCAGGCCCTACACCCCCCAGAACCTGTACCTACAGGACTCACACCACCAGGCCCAACCCTCTAGAGCCTAAACCCCCCAGAACCTACATCTCCAGAACCCCCACTCCCCTGGACCCCATATCCCATTCCCCTCAGAACCCCACACCACCCCACAGGCCACAAACCTCCGCCAGAACCTACAATTCTAGGACACACACCCCCTGGCCCAGTTGCTCAGGGCAGATCAAGAAGTGCTCCAGGCCAGCGCAGGAAGAGAGGCGACCCTGAGGCTGCAGGGCTGGGAAGCTATGGTGGTAAGGGACAGGTACCTGGCCACAGGCCTCCTCCAGCATCCTGGGGGTGGGTGGGTCCTGGGGATGGGTCCTGACAGGAGGGGCCTGGGGGAGGGGCTGAGGGGTGGGACCTGAGGGCCTGTGAGGCCTGAGGGGGCAGGGCCTGCAGCAGAGCTGGCTCCTCCCCACTCCCAGTGCACAGGCACAGCCGGGAGACAGTGGCCTGAGTGCACCTGCAGCTCTCCTGGACCACCTGACTCCTTTCTCCTGGGTCGCTGGCCCAGAACTTAAGGATTCCACCCCCGCCCCCAGTGGCTGGACCTGAAGATGCTCATGTAATGTCACTTCCACTCCCTTCTCAGTCAAAAGGGACCACAGAGATCCCCACCCCACTTTCCACCCCACTAATCACAGGGCCTTTGCACATGCTGTTCCTGCTGTCTGGGCTAAGTCCATATGCACACATCACCTAGATCCCTACAGCTGTCAGCACATGGGTTCCTGCACTCAGGGACTCCTCACACTGTAGTTACTGCTGACTTCTGTGACCACCTACCTGACTGGGATGCGATTTGGCTAGTCCAAGGGCAGGACCCACCCCCACACGTTTGTGACCACTAGCACAGCACCTGGCACATAGTAGACGTGCAAAACACGATGAGAGGGGGGATCGCATCACAGCGATGCCCGGCCACTCCCCACTACCCCCAACGTCCCCAAAGGCCAGGCCCAACAGTGTCCGGGTGCCCATGGGACTTCCCGTCCACTCCATGAGGCGATGGAAGGAGAGCAGTTTCCCTTTCAGGATCCTGAGATTGGAACTTGACCTTGTCACACACAGTTCTCTCTGTCCCCGTCAGTCTGACATCATGCCGGCTCCTCAGACCCCAACCCGGAGCTGTGTCGCAAGGACGCACCCCCCACCTCTCAGAGCGCTTCTGTTGGGTCCTGGGTCATGGCCTGTCCCCACGGGCATTTCCACACACATGTGAGCATGGAGCGTTCCCTGACTTCTGGAAGGAACGTGAACTCCCTGGAACATTGCCTCTGGCAGCGGCAGCCTCGATCAGCCTTCCCCAGAGTCCCGAGTGGACTGTGAGCCCCCAGCCCCGCCTGCCACTCCCCAGGAATCCCTGTGGAGACAGAGCCTTGAGGAAATGCAGCAAATGGAGGGTCTAAGGGGTGCAGAATGAGGTGACCTTGGGCAAGTGGGGCCTCCGGGGTCCCTGGCTCCTGTCTCGGGTCCCCTTGAGATACGGGACTTGGACTCAGTGCTCTGAGGCCAGGGACAGAGTGGGGCTTTCAGCAGACACTTGCCAAATGTCCCCTGGGGGACCCGGCATCTGCCAAGGACGGGGGAGCTGGGATGGCCCTGCCCTTCTAGGAGCCATGTAGATGCTTCAGGGGCAGAGGGCCTATGAGAAGACACACTGCTAGGGACACACTGCTCCAGGCTGGAGGCCACATGATGGAGTGGAGGGGACTTCCAGGTCTGGCCCAGCAACTTTCTCATTGCCAGACAGACGGGCACAAGGCCAAGCACAAGTATGGCTGGGAACACTGCCCCAAGATTGGGTCCTGCCTCTACCACCAACAGATGCACCTCTGCCAACCACTCGGCCCCAGAGGAGGGCACAGCTCTGTGTAGCCATCAGCAAAGCAGGGCGGCTCACAGGGAGACCACAGCCCCGGCTTGGCCATATGAAGCACAGGACGGCAGGGGCAGAGCGTCACAGCAACTGAGGACCCTGGTGACTCCAAAGGTCCCTTGGCATGCCAGGAGGTGGCCCAGGGCACTTGGAACACAAGCAGCCCAGAGGAATCCCCACCTGCGGGCACCCCGCTGCCTCATTCACATTGACTGGCTAGTTTGGGGCCCCTTGACTAGCCCATGGATAAGGAAGGTCCATCAGGAATGCCAAAGTGTGCTTTAGAGGAAACAGACGTGCATCTAGAGGGCTGGGAACCCATAGGGACCATGCCAGGCTTGCTCTCTGCTCCGCGGCACGGGCTGGAGACGGAGGCTCAGGCCCCAGGCCCACCTGCCCCATGAGAGCCTGCGTCTGCAAGCCAGCAGATCCCAGGGATCCAGCAGGGCAGAGTTCCGGGGGGCCTCCAGCGGCTCTCAGCCCTGCTTCATGCTGCCAGCCCTCAGGAACTTTCCAGAACACCCCTGATGCGACTGGCCTGTCCACACTGCTTCCTGGGAGGGGTAGTGTCTACACCCCCCCCCAGGGCCCTTCACCCCTCTGCAGTCCCCGCCCAGGACCCACTTCTGCCTCGGTCTAGGGTCTCCCCTCCCCCTGGCTCTGAACTGAGTTCGGGTCCTGGTGCCCAACGAGGGCCACAGTGCACGCTTCACAGGTACTTGCCAGCAGAAAGCCTTGCTCTGCCTGTCGGGGGATAGAACCCCAGCAATAAGAGAGGGGATTGGACGGAAAAGCTAACGTTTTGCTCTAAGCTGAAACCACAATCATCATCAACAACCCTACAAAAAGTCAATTTATCACCCAATGTTGGATGCCCTGTTGCAAAAACTGGGAAACACACAAAGAAGGCAGAGATCCACATAGAATCCCTGGTGCTTAGAGCTCCCCAGTCAACCCCAGAACCGAGGGTGGAGGGCCCCACCTCACTGTCCTCCTCACCCCAGCTTCCACACCTAGGGAACCACGGGCTTCCCTATCGGCAGCCCTGGCTGCTGTCTTGGCCACTTGGCCTTCTTGGCAGCAATGACCAAGGTGGTGATGATGAAGGAACTATGTCCCCGTCCATTGCAACAGGTGCATCACCGCTCACCCGGAGGCCTGGTGGAGGCGACCACCTGACCACAGCATCCACATCCCTCTGCTATGACTGGCTGACCCCGAGGCCAGGCCCTCCACCCTGGACCAGAGCTACTGATGGACAAGTCAGATCCTCTACTCCCCGAGGGCAGGAGCTGGGCTGACCGACCTCAGAGCCCCACACTGCCCAGTCCAGTCCCTGACCTGGAAGGGGAGCTCCTGGCTCGTGTGCACAGGGACGGCACCACCTCTGCACCTGGCAGAGGGATTCCCAGGAAAGAAGTCTGAGTCATCCTTGAGAGAAAACAAATGCCAATGGAAGCTGCAGTGAGACCAGTGGGGCCTCTTCCATCCCTTCCACAACGTTCCATGAGAGGCTAAGCAAAAAGCCAGCTCACCTTGCCGAGACTTTAATCTGGCAACTCTAAAAGCACATGGCTGGCCTGCAGATGCATCCAGACGAGAACCTCCAGGAAACAGGCTGAGGTCCACGGTGCGCCTGTCCACGCCGTCCCCTCTTCCACAGCCCTCCTTGGGCTCCCCCTAAAGTCTCTACCGGCTACCCTGGGGGAGGTGGCCCATGGAGGACCAGCCAAGTAGGAGCCGGTGCCCGGTCTTGGAGTGTGGCAGGACGCTGGGACAAGGGTGAGCTGCCCTTGGGACCGCCACAGGCTGCTGCGGCACACTTTGTTCAGACGTAATAACAGCTATTAGGCTGCATAATTGACCCAAAGAGGGAAGTCATTGCAGCAAGAAACAAAGGGTGCTCAGTG